TAATAATAATAATAATAATAATAATAATAATAATAATAATAATAATAATAATAATAATAATAATAAACAACTACAACAACATGGCCACTGAAGAACATTGGGCCTTGTCGTCTAAAAAGTAATTTCCCCAAGAACTGCCTAGAACACACCCAGCCCTCTTTTGTTTGTGGTGTGTGTGTGTGTGTGTGTGTGTGTGTGTCTGTGTCTGTGTCTGTGTCTGTGTCTGTGTCTGTGTCTATGTGTGTGTGTTCATCAGATGGAGGAATATGGCCAAGTCGTTTCAAAAAGATTCCCCTTGATCCTGGGAGGGGCTGAAAAACCAAGGTTTTCCCAGGTTTGAAAATGATTGCCTTATTCTTCCCTTTTTTGTTCCTGCGAACAGGGGGATATTGGGCCAGCTGGTCCTCCTGGCCCGAAAGGAGACCCCGGAAATCAAGGGAAAAAGGGAGAGAAGGTACCAACCCTTTCCCATCTTCTCTTTTGACTTCTTTCCTTCATATGTGTGGCACAGGTCGTTTCCAGGACTGACTACTACGGTGCTCTCTCCATGGGGCATCCCTTGAGGCTGACCCAGAGGGTCCAGAGTGTAGTGGCCGGACTGGTGATTGGGGTGAGCAATCTGGATCACATCACTCCAGTTCTGGCCTGTCTCCACTGTTGTGTCCCAAATCATGTTCAATGTTCTGATGCTTACGTACGGCATAAAGTCCTTCACGGTCCTGTCGGAATGCCTCTCCCCAATGTTATCTGCCTGTTATCTGTCTTAATTTTGGCTTAATTATTATTTAGTATTATACGTTTTATCTGTTGTTGTAAAATGCTCAGGATAGTGCTTCACACTAATAGGGCAGTAAATACATACCTACATGCATACACGCGCGCACGCACGCACGCGCACACACGCACGCGCGAACAACACACACACAGTAAGAGCCCCCCTTATCCACAGGATCAGTATCCAAGGATTCACTTACCCACAGTTTGAAAATATTAGAAATGTTATCCACAGGTATCCAAGGATTCACTTACCCACAGTTTGAAAATATTAGAAATGTTTAAAGGAAACAATCTAGAAAAAAAATATATTTTCACATGTATTACCAGAACGTTTAAAAGAAACAATCTAGAGAAAAAATATTTTCACATGTATTAGCCGCCTAGAGTGGTCTTAACAGACCATCAAATGCTTGTTAGTGAAAAAGACATTAAATGGTCTCTGGCTAGTACTGGTAATGCATGTGAAAGAAAATTTTCCTGTTTTTTTCCTTTCACCATTTAATATCTGTAGCATTCACTCTTATCTTGCAACTTTCAGTATCCACGGGGGTCCTACTGTAAATAAATAAATAAACTATTTGTTTGTTTATATTATTGAAATATGTTGGGCTGGCTTCTCTGTGATATAAGATCAAAATGAAAGAGGGAGCAGAAGTCAAACTTATTTTTGCCTTGATTTTTGCAGGGAAGTCCGGGGTTTGGCATTCCCGGTCAACTGGGGCTGAAAGGAGAACCAGGAGAAAGGGTGAGTCGGAAAACAGAGCAAGGTCGGTCCATAAAGGAAAGAAAAAGAAAAATGATGTACAAACAACGTGACTGTACGGAATGAAACAAAGACAGCCATTGATCTCCTGCCTTGAGATTTTGTGTTTTTTTTAAAAAACAATCTTTTTGTCCTCCTGCACAAATATGTAGATAAATACTCCAATCCGTCTGTCAACTAGCAATGATGCCAGGGTTGGGGAGAGACTCTAGAATTTGTTTTTTTTTTTTTAAAAGGAACTTTTCCAAAGGGCGGTTGGAAAAGTTCCCCATTGGGATTGGCCAATGGGATCAGCTTTTGGTGGACAAGAGCGAAGATTCATCTAATCTGGCATCCTATGCTCCAAAGAGGCTTTCGAATCCTGTAGCCATGTCCCCTTATTGTTCTCTCCGATCTAGTATTTACTGTCTTGCTGCCTCCCACTTTGGTGTTTCCTTTGGGGGACAAGAAATGGCAAAAAAAGGGGAGAAGTGGATATTGCCTAGAGGCCCTCTTACCATCTCAACTGCTTGAATCAAATAGCCACTGTTCTCAGGCCGCTCCCGACTTTTCCATGCCCCCCCCATGGTCCAGTACAAATATCCTAATCTCCATGGGAAGACCCCCCCGAGTCTGTGTGGTGGCTCTTCTATCAGCTCTGTAGAAGAGCACAGAAACGCCGGTTCAAGGTTGACCTTCCATCCTTCTGAGATTTGGTCAGTTGAGTAAACTCAGTCCCCAGATGGCGCTGGAAGGCGATGTGTAGCCTGCATAATTAAATTGTAAGACACACGCACACCCCTGAACACTACGGGTTGGTATACAAGTTGAAACAACTACTACTGCCCTCACTTCAACGGCGTGGCAGAAAGTGAATGGCTGAAAATTCTTAGGTTGCTCCGGATTTGTTGAACACCCCTGAACACTACGGGGTGGTATACAAGTTGAAACAACTACTGCTGTCCTCACTTCAACGGTGTGGCAGAAAGTGAATGCCTGAAAATTCTTAGGTTGCTCCGGATTTGTCAAAGACCAATGATGATGCTACTGGTGGGGGTGGTGAGGATGAGGATGATTCTTGGAAGGAAAGATTTTGGACTACAGCTCCGGAATACTCCAGCCACGCTCTTGGGGATGTTCTGGAAGTTGGCGTCCAAAAAACCCACACCCAACATGGCTCAGCCCTATTGGTACAGCACCCACTGCTTCTAAGCTGGGTACCAGGGTAAACGGAGGAGAACAGATACTGTGAACCTGGCTGGCCAGATCTCCCGAAGGAGCTCATGGCCGAGACCGAGTTTAAGCTTGAGTCTAAGTCTCAAGTCTCTTGGGCCCACCCCATGAGGTTTGGGGACTCTGGACTGGGACCCAAAGAATCGGATGGCATGCGCCACCCCACTGATAGGCTGGTGCATGTGTAGAAACAGTTGGCCTCCCTCCCTGATGCCTTCCACTGCCACCTGCTCCACCCGGGGGCTGCCCAGCTACCCAGGCCGACCTTCCACTTCTCCCACTGTCGCTGCCCCCACCCACCGGCACCGTCTTCAGAGATGGCAGGCCTGCCTTGACTTCCAGGAGCCAGGCCTCTGCCTCCAACTACGCATGCGCCAGCCAGCTGCCAGCCAAGCACATGCACAGAGACTGTGGGCTGACTTCCCTGCCCAGAGCTGGCCTGTTGTCTCTGCGCATGTGCCGAGCGATCAGCTTTGTAGGTGGACGCACTGGGCTGGCTGCTGGAAGGGATGCCGAGCCTTCCGTCTCTGGAGACGGCTATAGCGGTTGGTGGAGGAAGCAGGCGGCAGGCAAGGAGGCCCATAGGGACAATGGGACTCCGCCAAAAGGGTCCAAGTTGTGTCACAACCCCCACCCCACCCCCAAAAGAACCCTTGAGTCGAGTCCGAGTGACTTAAGTCGCATTTGACAATGACTGATAAATCTTCATCCCTGGAGATAAGGATGCTTTTGAGACGGGGGACCTTTCTAGATAAACAGTCTTCTCCACTCGTGGTTTCTAAACCACGTTTCTCTACGGTTGCTTTTGCAAAGCTGCAGGAGTTAGGCGAACCTAGCAACCTAGGCGAATAACGTTCTGTTCGTAATACTCGTGCAACAGCTCCTCAGCACGTGCATTCCTGGGGCTGCAATTTGCACTCACGGACCTGGGAGTAAACGTTATTGAACTCATTCGAGCTTACTGTTGAGGCATCATGCGCTGTTCTATGCTGCTATTTTTCTCAATGTTGTCTCATGCGTTTAGGTCTTGCTGGTCATGTGGAGGTACATGATCTATTAATGCCTGCATACCTAATTTTTAATGTGTTGATTTCATGTATTTTAACAGGGAAATGTTGGCTTATCTGGCAAGCCGGGGCAAAAGGTGAGAACACAGGTGACTAGCGCAATGTGTTAAAATCTTGCAATCATTTCTTACATGTCCGTATTATTTTAGATTGTTTGGAGAACTTCTTCTACTTTGACATGGTGATTCTGATTTTATTTATATGGGCTTCTTTATTTTCATAGCAGAGAGGTGACTAGCACAATGTGTTAAAATTTTGCAATAATTTCTTACATGTCCGTATTTTTTAGATTGTTTGGAGAACTACTTCTACTTTGACATAGTGATTCTGATTTTATTTATTTGGGCTTCTTTATTTTCATAGCAGAGAGGTTAAGATGCGGTGTCTTGCCCTGGCCATGTAGTGAAATCATGGCAAAAAGAAACTGGTTTGAGGTGACAGTATCATAAGTCGTTACTGCTAACCAGGGATGGGGAATTGTGACTCGCTGTCAAGTCTGACTTAACTTGCAAGAAACTGGTTTGAGGTGACGGTATCATAAGTTGTTACTGCTAATCAGGGATGGGGAATTGTAACTCGCTGTCAAGTCTGAGTTAACTTGCACCAGCAACTTGACTTGGATTCAACTTTTTTAAAGACTGGGACTCCACTCACAACTCAGACCCATTTTTCCAAATCACTTTTCCGAGTCCCTACTCTTTTAATGACACAGTTTGTGTTTCTACTTAAATGGAGCCATCCTTCCCCTTTAAGAGCTGTTGTGCACCTTTCTGGCCCAGCAGTAGGGCATGCATTCTTTTTGGCTTGCTCCTTATTTAGCTTGATCTTAGTATAGTTTAGGTTAAACAAGAAGTATATAGAAGAACAATCTCCAAATCCCATGAGGTACTAGTCCCCCTTTATTCAGCAGTGGTTAGACCTCAGCTTGAGTCTATTGTCCAGTTCTGGACACCACACTTTAAGAAGGATGCCAACAAACAGAAACAAGTTTATAGGAGGCAAATAGCAGCGGTGGAGGTAAAAACAGGGAGGGAGAGTTTTCAAGGGTGTGGAGAGGTGAGGCGACCACCAAGGTGTAGCTTCTACCAGCCTCAGCAGCCCCAGCGCTTCCCTCCTAAGGCTCTGTGACCCGAGGAGCAGGATGTGGTGGCAGCGGTGGGAGAAGCATCATCTCCACCTGGGCCTGTCTGGCTACCACTGTCATAAAGAGGCTGCTCAGGTGGGCCACCAGGCATGAGAGCAGCATAACATCCCACCTGGGGGCTGAGCCTGCTGCCAAACCCAAGGATACCAACACCACCATCATCCTAGTACTGCAGGACTGCCTCCTTTCACGGCTCACACAAGCTGGCCAACTTCCCTCTTGACCCAGTGGGGGAGAATGAGGTGGAACCCACCCCACGAAAGGCTGAGGAAGCATAGGATGGGGGCTTCTCAGAAGGTGGCAAGCCCGGCTCAGGGACAATGCCTGGGGGGGGGTGTTACCAACTGCAACTCCCAGAATTCCTCAGGCAGAGACTTGAGACTCGGACTCAAGTCTTGGGACTCGGATCTAAAGATTTGCCAACTCCTACAGAGACTTGAGACTCAGACTCAAGTCTTGGGACTCGGATCTAAAGATTTGCCAACTCCTTTGCAGTTGATAGAGAAATTGTGGGGGTGTGTGAAAAGAGGGACAGGCACACTGCGCGGTCTTTTCTTTCCAGGGCGAAATTGGTCCCAAGGGTGAGAAAGGTGAGCCTGGACTGACCGGTAGACCTGGAGAGCCTGGCCTAAGAGGTAAAGATGTAAGTAGAAACTAACGGTGCAACCCACCTGGGGAGCTGAACTCTGCCATGGCTAAGCGGAGGATTTGTCAAAGCTAAAACAGGATGCTTTTGCTGGTCCAGGGATCTTTGTCCTGCAGAGAGCAGAGATGGACGAGAGGTAGCCCTCTGTACGTTGCTGGACTATGTCTCCCAGCTGTTGTCCCTTTGGAATTCTCTTCCACTGGACATCCACCAGGCAGCATCGTTCCTTGTCTTTAGAGAATTGGTAAAAGCAGAACTTTAGAACGAGATTTTTAAAAAACACCTTGACTCCGAGTTAGGATTATTATTTCTTGCAGAGTTTAATTTTCCGTTGCCACTTGCTTTGGGGGGGAATCGCTTTGAGTAATCTGTTGTTTTCCATCTTATCCTTCATATTATTTGTTATTTTATACAGACGTCAATGAGTGACAGTATTTGTTGTGAATTTAATTTTCTTCCGTTCACCGCCTGGAGGAGTGAATTCTCACTACATCGGGCGGGAGAGAAATGAAATATATAAACAGATACTCTCAATAGTTTTGATACAGCACAACTGTCTATAGATAAATTGATAAGGATGTTTGGAACAACTAATTAGAAGGGTGGCATAGGAAGCAGCAAAGGGATACAGAAATGGCCATTCTGAACAGTGAATTCTAGCTTGGAATTTCTCTATAAAAATGGATCCTTTGAATTCATTCCAGGGAGAGCGTGGAAAGAAAGGGGAGCCTGGAATCCAGGTAAAGCTTAGAGAAACCTAGCCACCTTCCTTCTAACCCCGTGCGGCATCGCTGATTGTGTACTTAAACCAAAGTATATGGATGCTTCAACTTGTTTAGTTCCTTTCCTGGTGATTTTCGTGACGTGCTCACGTGCAATCTTGCCACTGCATAAGCTGTCTTGAATCAATATTCCACATCGTAAGTTGGCAAGAATTCTGAACTCTTGACTGATGATTAAATGACTAAAATAGTCCTGCAATCTAAACTAATCTTTCCATTCTTCTAGGGAGAAGCAGGCACACCTGGGGAGCAAGGAGAGAGAGGAATCAGGGTAAGGGGTCCCCCTGGGATGGCTATTCCTGGGGTTGAGCTTGAAAAGATGACTTTGAGCCTGCCCACATTGGCATATACATCCAGCATATGAATCACCGAGGGCACTGTTTGGATTGAAAAAAGGCCCGTGTCCGTTTGTGTTTCTACTTAGAGTCATCCTTCCCCTTTAAGAGCTGTTGTGCACCTTTTGGGCCCAGCATGCATTCTTTTTGGTTTGCTCCTTATTTAGCCTAATCTTAGTATGGTTTAGGTTAAACAAGGAGTATAGAGAAGAACATTCTCCAGATCCCATGAGGTACTAGTCCCCTCTATTCAGCAATGGTTAGGCCTCATCTAGAGTCCAGTGTCCAGTTGAAACCCTTTCAAAAATCAAGTGGCCTAGCTTGAAAGGGCCAGTGGGGCTAATCTTCTCCTGTGTCCTCCTTCTTTAGGGCCCTTTGGGTCTTCCAGGACGTCCCGGAGAACGTGGGATGAAAGGAGACATGGGAGAATCTGGGAAGGATGTGAGTTGAATGCAGAGAGCACCAGGAAAAAGGGGGGAGGTGGTGGGGCTACTGCTAGTGTCTGTGTCAGTGATGATGCCTCCCTCAGTAGACCACCTCTTATTTGTTAGTTTACCTCAACTGGCACTTACTGTCTGCAATACATTCATTCAGAGAGTCTGGTCAGGAGAAAGAATAAAACGTTTCATTTACTCACAGTTCTTCTATAAAAACAAACATGATTGTGTGTAAAAATGTTGACCTGCTCTATTGCTGAGCTTAATGGGTTGATTGGCTTCATTACTGACCCACTGACTAGTCACATAGTTGACGGAACGCTACGTTCTGCCTTCAGGTGTCCTAACTCACATTGAGAGAACACTAGCCAACTCCTGATTCCCACCTCTCCTGTGCGACTCAGAGGAGTGACCAGTGGACCAGATGTGGAACTTTCTCCTTGCTTCCTGGCCTTCCCATTGGGTGTGCTCGTTGGACTGTTGAGCTGTTGAGCTTAGTGTAGGAAGCCCTTGATTCCTGAGTTCAAAAGGAGGGTGCCCCGGCGGCTTCTGGTGCTCCTTTTATGAGCCCTAACGCTTTGGGATTTAGTCCAGTAGCAACCTCATCGTCATCCCAAAAGGCTCCTGATCCCCACCCTGAGACTTAACACCTAGAACCATGCCATATACTCAGCTGGAGACTCTGTCCTTTCTAGGCTTCTTGGTTGGCTCTCCTACATAGTGGTGAGCAGGAGGGTGGATTTCTGGATGCCTGCCGTTGAGCAATTGCTCAACGAGTCTGGGAGGGAAGTGCAAAGTGATTGTGCTTAGTACCTCTGGGGGAATGTGGTCAAGCACCTTCCTTCAGCGAGCACTGCAGCTGAGTCGTTCCTTTCTGCCTCTCCTTTTTCTCCTAGGGACTTGCCGGAGAGAAAGGAGACAAGGGTGAATCCGTAGGTTTGCACATTTTCCTTCCGAGCCTTGCACGGGAAAGCCCAGGGAGGCTTCCTCCAAGCTCAACCTTTTTCTGTGTTTTTCTTGTGGTCTATTATTATTATTTTTCATCGTGGTGGATGATGTGTGTGTTATCTTCCCGCAGGGGCAACCTGGGCCTCCAGGAATACCTGGGCAGACTGTGAGTAAAGCCAGTTATCCATTCCTGACCCTTAGGGGGAAAAGATCATAAGGGGTGAAGAAAAAGAGACCTTAATCCATAGAAATGGGGTTAGCAACTGTACGAAATACAGTAAGACCCTCCCATATACAGAACGCCATTTTAATAGTGAATGCTATACATCAGCGTTGCCCAACCTTTTTGGGACCACGAAACAGCGGATACTGATCTGTGGGAGGCTATTGTACTTCTTGCCATGTCTAAATGAAGGAGAAATACATTCTTTGCTCTAAAACAGGGGTGGGTAATGGGTGCCCCCTCAGGACCTAAATGAGGGATCCTAGCACCACCAAGGATTCCCAATATCTCACAACCATTTTTTAAAAAAGCTCTCTCTTTTTGTCAAAAAGCCCTCTTGTTGTGTTTAGGAGGATGTGGGAGGCAACTTTTGCTGCATTTTTGCCCCTCGACATTTTTTTATAAATGTATTTATTTAAAATATTTCTACCCTGCCTTAATCCTCAAAGGGAGAAAATCAATTTCTTTTTCTAAAAATGTTGGGCTGCTAAAGTTTGTGAAAGGGGGCTCTCTTTTTTTTTCAGTTAAAGTGCCTTTTAAAAAGAAAAAAATATTTTGGTATGGGCAAGGGTAAAAGGAGGAGGGAAAGAGATCTTCAGAGGTTCAAGAGTGGCCTTATGTGGCCTTTGAACCAGTGGTGTTTTTCCTTTCCCACCCTAGAACATGTTTTCTTCCTCATTGCGTTTTCCTCTGACCACTGTAGGCGCCTCCTTCGGAAAACTACATCACAGTCAAAGGAGAGAAGGTACCGTTTCATCTCTTGTGAGCCAATCAATGATAATTCATTTGGGGGCGGGGATTGTGTATCCCAGGTGGGCATGGTCTCAGTTGGCCATCTCCACCTAGTGATGACTTAGACATGGAACCCAAGAGATGCTAGTATCTTTTTCATAACTGTTTGGTGCCATTGTGCACGGCAGGAGAGGAAGCTGAACACGTTCCACATGCATTGTCTCCGATGAATTTTTGGTATCACCTGGTAGGACAAAGTTCCAAATTGAGTAGTCCCTGAATGAGCTGGAATTTTCAGCATGAATACATTACTGAAACAGCGACGTCTACATTGGCTTGGGCACGTCATGAGAATGGCTGACGGTTGAATTCCAAAAAAATCTCTTGTATGGAGAATGAGTGCAGGGTAATCGCCCCAGAGGGGGACCACAGCTGCGATACAAGGAGATCTGCAAGCGGGATCTGAAGGCCTTAGGAATGGACCTCAACAGATGGGAAACCCTGACCTCTGAGCATTCAGCCTGGAGGCATGAGGTGCATCGCGGTCTCTCCCAATTTGAAGAGACCCTTGTCCAGCAGGCCGAGGCAAAGAGGCCGTCCCAAAAGCAGCCAAATCAGGGAGCTGGACAGGGGACAGATTGTATTTGTCTTCAGTGTGGAAGGGACGGTCACTCTCAAATTGGCCTTCTCAGCCACACTAGATGCTGTTCCAAGTCCTCCATACAGAGCATGTTACCCTAGTCTCTTGAGACTGAAGGATGCCTAATCGGTGCCATTAATTATATGAAGATCTAGAGACGAAATTCCATCCTCTGTTGGGAACCTTCAAGACATCTATCTCGTTAAGGCCAAGGACCCAGAATCTTGGTGAATTTTCAAAAATGCTTCATGGGGGATGAGGTAGGGAAGAAGACCTCCAGCCCACCAAGAATATAAGCCCATGGCTTGGGTGTCCTTCATTCCACCGGAATCTGTAGAGACAGACAATGGATTTCTGTGAAATGAAGCTCACCAGGCATGGAACCTCTCTTCTTCCTTTTGGGACCAGTCCTCATAGAGTCCAACAAGCAACAATCTTTTGTCATTCCCTCCCGGCGATGTTGTGGTTGCCACAAGAGTTGAGATAACTGGGAAAGTTCAGTGGCCAGAGAGAGACCCTACCCCTAATCCGTTCTGGGATGGATCCCAACTCCGTATCTGATGAGGGAGGCTCTGCTCAAGATGCCCGTCATCAAGAACACAACAGGGGTTACTTTATAGACTGAACACACCGAGACACGGCCGCTAATAGAACCAAAGGAAATGACCTTATCTTGAGCTCTATATTGTTGCTCTGGTTGGCAGCATCAGATCTCCAGGCTGAATTCTTTCCTAGCCCTATCTGGAAATCCCTGATGTTTCCTGCTAGTATCCTATCAGAATCATGTCTGACCCTACTGGGCTTCCAAAATAAGACACAATCGGGATGGGTTGAAGTGTTGTGATGGTTTTAATAGGCCCAGCTGTGTGTCTCACCTTTAAGATGGTCTCTTTTTTAAAAAAATAACAAAAACATAAGGGACAAATGCAATCATAACTCAAATATACAGTGTAACCTATCCCCATCAGGAATATAAGTTTATATACTCTAATAGATATGTTTCATATTAATTTATATCACATCCCCCATCGCTTTCCAAAAATATATATTAATTTATATCACATCCCCCATCACTTTCCAAAAATATAATGATTCTTGCATTGGGGTATAACGGTTATGTTTTGTAAATACGTGTTCTATATAACACTAAACTACAATTTTCCCGAAAATAAGACAGGGTCTTATATTAATTTTTGCTCCAAAAATGCATTAGGGCTTATTTTCAGGAGATGTTTTATTTTTTCATGTACAATAATCTACATTTATTCAAACGCAGTCATGTCATCTTTTTCTGGTTACTACACAAGGGTGGAGGGCGGGGTTTCACTGAACTGGGGCTTATTTTTGGGATAGGGGTTATATTACGAGCATCCTAAAAAATCACACTAGGGCTTATTTTCAGGTTAGGTCTTATTTTCGGGGAAACAGAGTATGTTCTCTTAACAATCTTTTCCTAACTTTCAACCCACAAGTTAATTTATCATTAATATTTAGATTCTACACCTCATTTTTAAGATAGTTGCAGCTTCTTCCTATTCGGGGAGAATACAGACTCCGTTAGCATCTCTTGAGTTATTTAAGAGCAAAAATCACCCTGTCTGTATCCAGCTTATTCACACCACACATTCTTCCATGTCCATACTTAGATGCAGACTGGAAGATTGCAAATCGCATGTTGCCAGAAGCAGGGGTTCCTTATGTGCTGAACGACATCTGGTTGTCATCACTCAAGAGTTCGTACCTACGGTGTCTTGCAAATGAACGTGTTGTGTGTCATAGCTGATCATGGCAGAAGAAAATTCGCTGTTCCTTCCCAAACTTGATTCGTCCAAGATATATCTCTTCGAAACTGTTCTTAGCGTCCGATGTTTCATTAGCCGTGCGATCTGACTTGATCCTTTGTGGTTTTCCTCCGAAATCAATGTTTCCCAGCCTGGGGTCATCCAGAAGTTCTTCGACTAAAATTCCCAAAAGCCTTCACCACGGGCTGTGCTGGCCAGGATTTCTGGGAGTTGTAGTCCAAGAACATCCGGGTGACCCAAGGTTGGGAAACACGGTTCTGAATGAAAAGGAGCCAACATTTGACTTGAGTGACCTGGTGTTCTCTTTCAACGCTTGCTCCTGAATTTATGGATGCATTGACATGTCAGTTCTTCTTCTTCTTCAAAGGGAGAACCTGGACCTCCTGGCAAAGGGATGGATATCAAGGTAAATCAAGACACAAAGATTGATCCATAGGATGAGGGATAGACATTCAATGGAGTAGGCAGGCCATGGAGCAACGTGCCGTCGTTCCGTAGGGTTTGGAAGCAAGTTCCAAAGGGGGAGCTCCTTTCCATTCATAGATGGAATCTCTGGGGGTGGTTTTTGAAAAGGCAGGATGTGTGCACGTCTATAGATGAGTGGATGAGCAGACCTGTATCATTTTGACTTCTTGGCTTTGTGTGTGAAGACCAACACAGGCTCCAGGTACTTGCCAATGACACCATATGGCCTAAATCCCATTGCTGGTCTCAACAAGAGTTGCTGAATCAATAGGATCTAATGGCTCAGGTCTGTGGCTGTAGGGCCAGAGATTGGGAATTTGATTCCACATTGTGCCTTCTTGGCAGAGGATGAATCCATAGGGTCCCTTCCAGCTCTGTAGTTCTAAGATGACGAGGATGATTATAAGTGTTGACTTAACATTCAACAAATAATAGGGTGGGTCTGTTCTTGTTATCATCTGCAGTTGGATTTAGGGCAATAACGGTGTTCTTTTACCTTTAAATTTGGTATTCTGGCTTCTTGTCCTCCTGTTCATTCATGAAAAATCATCCTCCATTTATAAAGGCATCATCTAAACTGAGCAAAAGAGGCCAGTAAGCTGTTTCAACGGAGAGAAAAAAAATAATTGTCCTCTAGGTTCTCTGCAAACTCTCATAAGAGGGTATGCTGATATGCACGGTCGACAGCCAGTGGGTAAGAGAATTGGGTTAGACTCAGGAGCACTGGGTTCGAATCCTCGCATGACTATGGGAACTCACTGGGGAGTGGCAAATGATAAACCTGCTCTTTGAACATCTCCCATACTTTGAAAAACCCATTAGGGCCACCTAGAAGCAACTTGGTAGCCCATATGATTAGTGAATTATTGGGTCCCAAATCCATGTGTACAGTATCTGCCCATTATGGCCGATAATATGGCCATCCTTTCTCTGATGTCACCTGATCCCCCTTTCTCCCCAATAACTACTTTTCTGCTTCTGGTTTGCAAGGATGGAATGCCACTTTTTATTAAAGCCTCCTGAGATCAAGCTGTCAGGTTATCCTCTGGTGATTGACGCCTGTTTTAGGGTGGAACCCAATGAACAGCACTGTTTGTTAATGTTACTATGATTTCTCCCACATGTAGGGTTTGGAAAGCGTTTTGGAAGCTTACGGGATCAAGGTATGTGCTCATCCTGCCTATAGCTACGAACTGAACGCAGCAGGAGAAAGCTAGTTCTAGAACTGATCTTAAGCTTAGGGAACACACCTGTGACAGGGGACACAGGTATGCTTGGCTGGATCTGCAATTTAGAAGGGAGGGGGATAATAAAAGCTTGTTTCCAAGAACCTGTGGGTTTATTTTGTCCACCCACCTAAGAACATAAGAAGAGCCCTGCTGGATCAGGCCAAGGGTTCCTCTAGTCCAGCTTCCTGGATCTCACCGTGGCCTCACCAGATACCTCTGAGAGTACCCAGGACAACAAAATCCCCGTCTCCTGATCCCCCTCTCTTGCATGTGGCATTTGGAGGTCCCTTCCTTCAAAGCCTGGAGATGATACATCTCCATCATGGCTTGTAACTTGCGACAAACCTTTCCTCCAGGAACCTGTCCAATTCCCTTTGAAAGGCCTCTAGGCCAGGTGCCATCCCCTCATCCTGAGGCAAGGAGTTCCACAGACTAACCACACGCTGGGTCAAGAAATCTTTTCTTTGGTCTGTCCTCCCTCTCCCAACCCTCCATTGGAGGGGAGGTGCCCTGGTTCTGGGATTGCGTGAGAGGGAAAAGAGCTTCCCTCTCTCTCCATTTGATCCATCCCTTTTCCACAGAGGGGGTGGAGCCATGGTGGTGTTACTGGTTTTTTTTTCCAGCCCACAACAGCATTTGACCCAAAGCCTTTGGTAGCAGCCAAACGGGACCTGGATTGTGTCATTTGCTTCAGAGAAGGGATAAAGCAAAGCAGAGGGTTGCAAGTCAAGTCGCTTTCTCTTTAAGGCAGGGAAGGTCAACGGGTGGGGAGGCTTCGGCTCCCACAATTCTTTGCCGTTGGCCATGCATGTGAAAGATAATGGGAGGTGAGATGCTGCACCTGGAGGGCTACACCTTGCCTGACCTGGCTGGAGTGCCACAGACGTGCCTGCCACTTTACAGGTCAAAAAACAAAACAGCATAAAAGGTTGTGCCTCAAAGATATTGCAATCCTGAATTTCAAATTCAGGGGCACCGGAGAGGCAGACGGGTTAAAAAACACTGAAGGAGAACAAGTCCAAGCAGTGGAAGAAAAGGTCTGTTAGCTTCCAGCATGTCAGGAGAAAGCTGACTGTATAAAGGGAAGAGATGGTCCGTTGGGTCATAATTGGCTAGCGCCCGTGTCGTCATCCGTCTTCCTTCTTCTGTCTCCTTTGCCATCCTCAGTAATCCAAATGATTTTGCAAGAGGTTATAAGGTGTTTGTGGGTTCATCCTCAAGTCTAATTACCAACCTTATTTTAAAAGGTAGTTGTGTTGATGTCTGTTTCATTGGCTAACCTTCAGGACTAAGTTGTAACTGAAGTAGGCCCATTGACTTCAGTAGAATGTACAGAGGAGTTAACTTACAAAAACCACACTGATTCAATGAGCTTACTCTAGTTATGACTTACTTCTAGATTTCAGCTGGCCTGTGCAATAACAGACAAGGCAAAACAAAATGGCTACAGTTCTGGGAGGCCTGTAAAACGAGCAGATTTATTTCAGTGTGAACTTCACTGATTACAGTCCATCTCTTCAGACACATGGAGTACAGTACTGAGGCTATAAGCATGTTAAACAACCAAAGAGTGTATACTTCTCAATAGCATTAGTGGGGTGAGACTATATTGTTTCAAGCTCATTAAATCACAAAAGTACAGTCTCCAAATCCTGTGAGGAACTAGTTCCCCACTATTTAGAACCAGTTAGGTCTCATCTTGAGTCCTATGGCCAGTTCTGGACTCCACACTTCAAGAAGGATGCTGACAAATTGGAACAAGTTCAGAGGA